ATGTGTACATTTTACGGTTGTGTTTTTGTTTTTGGCGGCAGCTGAAGCCAAAACTCTGCCTCGTCGTGGCCAATGCTCGCTAAATTTTTTTTTTCGTTCGCGTTCCGCGTGCGCGTTCCCAACGCTTCGCCGTTCGAGTGAAAACTAAACGAAGCGCGCGGGCAGCCAAGCAGAAGCAAGCGATTGTCACTGGCACCACCACAACCACAGCAGCAGCAACAACAACAACAACAACAACCACAGCAACAACAACTAAAGAACAACAACAACAGGCGCAATCACCACAACAACTACAAGAACAAGCAGCGGCACGTCCAGCTGTTTTGGTCTACTGTGCTCATGCGGTTGGGCGCCAATGTATTAAGTATAAGCGTAAGTATAAGAGAGAACGAAAAAGAGAGCAAGCGAAAAAACAGCTAACTGTAAATGTGTAGCCGACTTTGCGGCGGTGTTGAGAGCAGTATAAGAACTAGGAGAGCATAGCACGCTCTTGGGCTGTTGAAAGCTGCGCAGCGCGTAATTTTAAATTGTATTATTGTTTTATAAGCTGATCTTAAGAGATCTTCGGTAGGCCGAAGTTGACATACCCTTGCAAACAGGCGGATAGTCGAAATGTCTAATATTGCTATCTTTAGCTTATATTGCAACATTATGACTTATATTATTGTATTATATTATACTGGCTAAAGTTCCGTATATAGTTAAATATAGCGGCAGAGTTTTGACCAAAAAATTAGATATCAGGCCCATAGTGAAGTTATATAAGGAGCATAGTATATAGCAGTTGAATTTTGTTGAGATTTTAAGAAAAACAAAGTATTTCTTATAAGAAACAAATTTTTAAAATATAGTCCTATATTAGAAAGAATTTGCTTTTATGTTGGGAGCACAATTAAGCTCTTATTTCATGAGTTTGGTAAATATATCACGAAAAATAGAGAAGTTGTCCTGCGAAAATTAAACTTTAAGCTTATAGTTCCTACGGCAGCCCTATACCATATGGGTACAATAAAGCCAATTTTGACATATGTTTTGCCTAGAGTATACAAATTTGCTGAACCTGAGCTCTAAGACAGTCGAGTTCACATGGAGCAGGCAGATAATTAGACGCCTTAACCTGGCTATATTTCCTCGGATTGTTAATCTAATAGGGAAATTTATTATGCTTAATTGCTCACAATTGAAAAGGGAAATTGTCATATTACTAATATCCGCCGGTTGCGTTTAAAAATCTCTTTAAAAGGAAATTCAATAAGTTACGTATGCCACGAACCCGGCACAAGGCAGTTCCTGTCACAGCTGTGCCCAGAGATAGCATTGGGCACTTATAATTTCAGCTGTCCGGGTCTGCAGAGCAAGTGCAAAGATTTTCCGGCAAGCGAAATGTGTTGACCATTTGACTGTCTAGTATTTGCAACCCTTAGCAGTCAGACACACCCCGCGCAAAGCCGCGCGTCTGCCATATAAATACATATATATATATATATGTGTGTGAACAGGAATTCACGTGTACGCACTGCGAGGGTGCTTTTATACACATGTGTACACTGAGTACATAGAGTATGATTGATAGGACCGAAACGCCATTTCCCTAATTAAGTAGAATACGTAACTAAAAGACATTTAAAATGCTTCGCAATAAGCGTTGTTTATTTATTTAGGGGCGGGAATGTCTATTTGCGCTTGAACTGAACCCCAATTTGATTTTCGAGCAAACAGTTTTCGAATAATTTTGATAAATGTTCAGAATATTTAAATATACGTAAGCTATTGACATTATTTGAGGCCATATTAATCGTCAGCTTTATAAATAGGTTGGTCTTATTATTAAGTTGTTATGTGGAAAACTTAATATCTTTTCCTTAATTTAAGAATAATCCCCTTTAATTTAAATTTTTTAAATTTTGCATAAAGTTTTCTAAAAATATTTATTTTAGGGTATTCTTTCATAATAGAATCTGGCAACAATAATTTTGGTCTAATTTCATGTGAAAAGGGCATCCTCGAATATCCTATGTAGACATAGGTCGAAATTTCCCACCCTCATAACTTGGTCAAATCTCATCAGATTTTAACGAGGTTTAATTTTTTCTTCATGGTTTGGCCTCTAGATGAATTTGGCATCTAAATCTGGCAACATCAATTTTGGTCGAAATTCATGTGAAAATGGCATGCTCAAATATCCTATATAGACATAGGTCGAAATTTCCCACCCTCATAACTTGGTCAAATCTCATCAGATTTTCACGAGGTGTAGTTTTTTTTTCATGGTTTGGCCTCTAGCTGAATTTGGCATCTAAATCTGGCAACATAAATTTTGGTCGAAATTCATGTGAAAATGGCATACTCAAATATCCTATATAGACACAGGTCGAAATTTCCCACCCTCATAACTTGGCCAAATCTCATCAGATTTTCACGAGGTTTAGTTTTTTCTTCATGTTTTGGCCTCTAGATGAATTTGGCATCTAAATCTGGCAACATAAATTTTGGTCGAAATTCATGTGAAAATGGCATCCTCAAATATCCTATATAGACACAGGTCGAAATTTCCCACCCTCATAACTTGGTCAAATCTCATCAGATTTTCACGAGGTTTAGTTTTTTCTTCATGTTTTGGCCTCTAGATGAATTTGGCATCTAAATCTGGCAACATAAATTTTGGTCGAAATTCATGTGAAAATGGCATCCTCAAATATCCTATATAGACATAGGTCGAAATTTCCCACCCTCATAACTTGGTCAAATCTCATCAGATTTTCACGAGGTTTAGTTTTTTCTTCATGTTTTGGCCTCTAGATGAATTTGGCATCTAAATCTGGCAACATAAATTTTGGTCGAAATTCATGTGAAAATGGCATCCTCAAATATCCTATATAGACATAGGTCGAAATTTCCCACCCTCATAACTTGGTCAAATCACATCAGATTTTCACGAGGTTTAGTTTTTTCCTCATGTTTTGGCCTCTAGATGAATTTGGCATCCAAATATGGCAACATAAATTTTGGTCGAAATTCATGTGAAAATGGAACACTCAAATATCCTATATAGACATAGGTCGAAATTTCCCACCCTCATAACTTGGTCAAATCTCATCAGATTTTCACGAGGTTTAGTTTTCTCTTCATAGTTTGGCCTCTAGATGAATTTGGCATCTAAATCTGGCAACATAAATTTTGGTCGAAATTCATGTGAAAATGGCATCCTCAAATATCCTATATAGACACAGGTCGAAATTTCCCACCCTCATAACTTGGTCAAATCTCATCAGATTTTCACGAGGTTTAGTTTTTTTTTCATGGTTTGGCCTCTAGCTGAATTTGGCATCTAAATCTGGCAACATAAATTTTGGTCGAAATTCATGTGAAAATGGCATACTCAAATATCCTATATAGACACAGGTCGAAATTTCCCACCCTCATAACTTGGTCAAATCTCATCAGATTTTCGCGAGGTTTAATTTTTTCTTCATGGTTTGGCCCCTAGATCAATTTGGCATCTAAATCTGGCAACATAAATTTTGGTCGAAATTCATGTGAAAATGGCATACTCAAATATCCTATATAGACACAGGTCGAAATTTCCCACCCTCATAACTTGGTCAAATCTCATCAGATTTTCACGAGGTTTAGTTTTTTCTTCATGGTTTGGCCCCTAGATCAATTTGGCATCTAAATCTGGCAACATAAATTTTGGTCGAAATTCATGTGAAAATGGCATACTCAAATATCCTATATAGACACAGGTCGAAATTTCCCACCCTCATAACTTGGTCAAATCTCATCAGATTTTCACGAGGTTTAGTATTTTCTTCATGGTTTGGCCTCTACATGAATTTGGCATCTAAATCTGGCAACATACATTTTGGTCGAAATTCATGTGAAAATGGCATCCTCAAATATCCTATATAGACATAGACCGAAATTTTCCACCCTCATAACTTGGTCAAATCTCATCAGATTTTCACGAGGTTTAGTTTTTTCTTCATGGTTTGGCCTCTCGATGAATTTGGCATCTAAATCTGGCAACATTAATTTTGGTCGAAATTCATGTGAAAATGGCATCCTCAAATATCTTATATAGACATAGTATAACCGACTAAGTTATAAGAAAGTTATGTTAAACAGTAAAAATGCAAGTTGAACTAAGTATATTAAGAAACAGCCTGTCTAGAAAAAATTCTATCTGAAGAATAGTTGTGCTCTATCTTAAAAAGACTATTTCAAGGTCTGGCTGTTTGATTTCTTTGGCCAGAAACAGTTGCGACCAGCTAACAGCTGCTTTGCCAGATGGAAATGCACAAATTAAATTCAATTTAGGATGACTTTTACTGGCCCCCAGCCACAATCAGAACATCCGCTCTCCCTCCCGCTCGTACTTAGATGATCTCGAAATGAGCCAACTTCTCTGATCTAATGGGCAGCCGCCCATCAGATTGATCAATCAGCGGGATTGAAGGGGCGGCCTTTGAGCAAACTTTAACCCTTTGCTGGGGCATCTGGTCGATTTTTGGACACTGATCGGCCTGCTGTGCGCCATGTCGAAGCTTTCTCTATTTGCCAGCTATTTTTGGATGGGCGCAACGCTCGCGACGCTCGTTCGCGAAAAGCGCTCTGGGAGCGATCTGTTCCGATCTGTTCGGGGGAATCCGTTCTGTTCGGTTCCGGCGTAGCACAGATTGGATTTTAGTACAAATTCGTTAGTCGTACAAATCGCATGACTTTGCGGGCGGTTTAAGGCCACAAAACAAAAAAAAAAACAACAAAAACGGAAAAGCAAAAGCAAAAGAAAAAGAAAAACCAAAAGACACTTTCAGCAGATCAGCTGAAAATTACGGATTGCCAAACTGAATAAATAAATAAATCAAGGAATTTTCTTTTGTATATAAACACACGGAACGGTGCAACGTGCATTTCATATATTCAAAATACTCAAAAAAAAACAAAACATAATATATAAAAGATATAAGCAAAAAAAAAACACTATCTAATTAAAAATCAATCAAATATTTTCTGGCTAGGGAAACTCTAGACTTTTGTAGCTGTAATTTTAGGCGATTTTGAAGCGTTTTCATTTTTGTTTTGATGCTCACAATTTCAACGTGAAACAGACAAGAACGCCAAACGGATATATAGGCTACATTCGCCCAAAAGTATATAGACAGATTCCCGTTATATATATTCCCAGCGAATACGGTAAACTGGGCTATTTTCATATTGCGAGATGACGACGCGCGGCATACGGCGTAAAAAGTCAACGCTGACAGAGTTGAAAATCGCAGTTATTGGCGCGCCCAGTGTTGGAAAGAGCGGTAAGACAGAGTTTTCTCCAGACAAAAAAAAAACAAATAATAATAACAGAAAAAAAGTCTTAGAGGGAACTGCGAGCAACAGCAAATTAGTTGAGCAATCGCCGAGTTCGTATATATTTAGATCCGTTGTTTGTTTTGTTTATAAAGTGGCAGCATACACACACACACACACGCACACGCATGTATCTCTGAGCATGCCGCTAAATATATATACTTACATATCTGTATCTGCAACTGTATCTGTATCTGTTGTTGTTGCTGTATCTGTATCTGCATCTGCATCTGTGCCTTTGAGTAGCTCGCATTTTCCTGTAATCGTTTTCACCGTTCGATTTGACACGCGTGCACCCCGCAGCCAACAATTTATGACGGTCACTGTGTCACACACACAGGCACACACACACATGCACACACATGCACACACTTTGGGTGGGATCATAGGCGCTAGCTTGCATTGCGACTTAACTGCAAATTGATGTTCTCTGTCAGCCTCTGTCATCTCACGTACAACGACCCTCGCCCCCGTTAACTTTGAATTTGTAACAGTTTGTAGGCTTCCGCATGGCGCGGCATCTGTCAACTTCAGGTAACACCCAGCTACTTTATGGCCCGAAAGCATAAGCCGATCCGTGTTTAGACCGAAGAAATATGACTAGAATATATGCTCGACTAATAAATATTCATTTGGCGCAAAACACTTGACGTCTGGCATTGATACGCACTGACAGCTGCACCCGTAAATTGTCGCCTTTTATACGTATCGGGGAATTCTAGGCAGACCAAAATACAGACGAACTAGCCAAAGAGTTCGAAATGGAAAGTTCAAATCGCTCTCGCAGAACCTGCATTTCACGAATATTCATCTAAGTCCGATCTAAGCTAGATTTGTCCGACATAACATGCAAGCTAGATAAATTTTAGGAAGGAAAATAATAAGAAGATAACAAGAATAAGCTGAATATTAAATACTCTTCTAAAGTTTTGCAGGTTATCTTCAAAAAGAAAACCCTTTTCCATAAAGAAACTCAATTTTCGGCTAATTCTTCATATTATATGTGATGTGGAGCGTACTGAGACTCGTGAGTCTCAATATATCTAGATAAACAAATAGTATTTCATACTAGAACTAAATTTTAGATCAATCGTTCCTAAAGCAACTTTATGATATAGTCGGCCGATCTGGCCAATTTATATCTACTGTATACCATACAATGAAGCACTAATGCCATGTTTCATAAAGTAAGACTAGTTTAGATAGAAACAGATAGTTATACAACTTGGCTAGTAAACTAATCAGGAGTATATATTAGTATAGTATAGTATATAGTATAGTATAAAGTATAGTATATAGTATAGTATATAGTATAGTATATAGTATAGTATATAGTATAGTATATAGTATAGTATATAGTATAGTATATAGTATAGTATATAGTATAGTATATAGTATAGTATATAGTATAGTATATAGTATAGTATATAGTATAGTATATAGTATAGTATATAGTATAGTATATAGTATAGTATATAGTATAGTATATAGTATAGTATATAGTATAGTATATAGTATAGTATATAGTATAGTATATAGTATATTTTATAGTATAGTATATAGTATAGTATATAGTATATTTTATAGTATAGTATATAGTATAGTATATAGTATAGTATGTAGTATAGTAAATAGTATATATAAAGTATATTACTTTATAGGGTCGGAGATCCCTTTTGCACACATAGTGCCAATATTACAAGATTTCTTCAAGAAAAAAAAAGGTAATTTTAAACAAATTGGAATATTAAGTTAAAATAGTTTGTTTTTTTGAAATCTGTTATACGATCATACGACTTATAGGTATATTTTATCTGTTATTCCTTGGTTGGCATATAAATCTTTGCTGCATACTAGCCTTTAAAAGCATTGTTTAAAAATGACAATAAAATAAATTTAAAGATGTTGAATGATATTTCGGTTCATAATTAAGCTATTTATTCAGTTATAACGTGCATGCTAGGGAACTATTTAAAAACCAACACAAATAATTAAAATAATTGAGATAAGTCAATAAATTTCTTGAGCTGTTTTGCCAGCTCTCAAATGTGTGCTGCATACCAGCCTTAATGTGCAATTTTTTTTTTTTGTGTCAATCTAATCTAGCGAATATCAAGAGCAATGCTATCTAAAATACATAAACTCAGTTATATATATATTATTTTACAACCTCGCCCACTGTAAGCTTAATTATTTACTTTTACTTGGAAAAAAATTGTTTTGCATATGAGTTTGTGGAAAAATAAGAGAAATGGCAACAAGTACTTAGTATATGGAATTTTTTTAGGCGCCAGCAAACGTTTTAAGCAGACATGATCGTATCTATGATATATGCTGTTTGTAGCTATATATATTTGAATATATATATGTATATATATATATGGGTATATCATTCAACCGCAGATATAGCACAAATATTTAATGCACTAAAGCGCCAGGGGTATGCGTGTGTGCGCGCGCGTGTGTGTGTGTGTGTGTGTGTGTGGTTGGCAATTAAAGCGACGCCCACCCGGCGAGGGGCCGTGGACATGGTCCGATCCGATCCGATCCGATCCGATTAATGCCCAGCGGCCAGATGAGCGACAGTGTGGCCAGTCTTTGTCGTAATTTAAACAAAAATTTAAACGTTGACCTCGTAAAAACACATATAAAAAATAAATAAAAACCGAAACAAAACGTTTGCAGAAAAGCATAAATTAAAATGCCAGCCAAATGTGCGGCTGCTATGAAAATGAATGATGAAAATGTCATTAAAGGCGGTCAGTGGGCGGGCCTGGGGAGGGACAGAGGTTTTTGACGTGCCAAGACAAACTAAGCCGGCAGTACCTGTGCACATATACATATATATTTGATATCCTTTTGGCAAGCAGCGCCTGCGAGACTTGGTCAGAGTTCAAAGCACTTGCATTGCAAATGACCAGAGGCTCAGGCTGAGACAAATACACACCCTTTCAGCTAGCCCCCCCCCCTCTCCACCCCCTCGCGTTGTTTTGTTTGCTTGCAACACGCAACACGCTAAGGCTCAAATGTGCTGCTGTTGTTGTTAGTTGGGTTTATTAACCCCTCAAGGCTTACACATACATACATAGTTTTCCTTTGGCCACCTGCCCCGAGGCGGCTTTTCCCTGGCCACATTTGAATTTTCAACTGTCGTATGAGTTTTCCCCGTTCACGCTCGCTTAAGTGCTGACCCAGTAGTATTTTTTTGCAGGGGTTTGTTTTCCAGGGGCGTTGCCTCGGTTTACACCTGATCGCTGTGATAGCCGGCCCCAAATTAAATTCTGTTATTTAATTTAATTGCAGCCTTAATTGTGCGTTTCCTAACAAAGCGTTATATAGGCGAATACGATCATCAGACTGAGAATCGCTACAAGCACGAGTCCATGGTGGATGGCGAGCCGGTGCTCTTCGAAATACTCGACACATGTCCCAAGGTAGCTATACGGATAACACTTATTTACCCCAAACACCAAACACAAAAAAAATGCAAACAAAAAAAAACTCAATCTATAAACAAACCAGGCCGAAGATGAATATCCCAATGCTGCCGAGCTGATACAGTGGGCCGATGGCCTGCTGCTCGTCTATTCCATAACCGATCGCAAGAGTTTCAACTATATACGCCGTGCCAAATCCGATCTGCAATCGGATACGCCCGTTCAGCTGTGCGCCAACAAGGTGGACATGGTGCATCTGCGACAGGTTAGCCGCGACGAGGGCGAAATACTGGCCAAAGACTTTGAGTGCAAATTCAGTGAGGTCTCCGCCGCGGATCATGTCGACCAGGTCGCCGAGGTATTCAATGACCTCTGCAAGGAGGTGCTCGCCTGCAAGCGCAAGTCCAAGCAGAGCCTACTGGAGCGCATGCTCGGCGGCACCCGACCCTACAGCAGAGGAAAGAGCGATAGCAATTTGCCAAAAGACTGATATCAACATTTGTTTAAATAAAATATACTCATTTTTATTAAAAGTTAAATATGTTTGTTTCTTTCATTTACAGCCTGAATGTGTTTGTTTAAATGGGTAATTTATTTATATAGAAAATTTCGATATTCTATGGCACGCCGAAGTTGGAATACCCTTGTAGATATGTGGTCTAATAGCTTGCCTATGTGCGAGGGAAATAGTATTTGCTGATTTTGGCCAAGATTTCCTGAATATAGTACATATTTCATGTCCAAATTGTATTACTTTTTTAAGAGGGTATACGAAATTTGAATTTACTCAGAAATAAAAGAAGAATATTTTGTCCTCTCGGGTGCTCGAACCCTAAACTTTAATCTCAACCAAAATGACTTGGAACATCAACAAAACTTTTTTAATTTATGATTCAAAATAAAGCTCGAGTGAATAATGTTACTTTAGCTGCATACTTTTAACGGTCACTGTTTAAATTTGTTCTATATTTTATAACAAGCAGCTTTTGTTGGGCTTTTAGAAGCTTTTTGTTTAAAATGCTTATCAAGTTCCTAGCTATAAGCAGTATATAGTTAGCATAGTTAAAAGAATAGAACAATTGTATGCCTTTAAAGTATTCTGCGAATAAGTTAACTAATTTGTAGTACTCTTATTCTTTTATTCTAATTACAGGCCTATGCTAAAAATTTTTGCGCTCACTTCGTTTCATAGCAAGCAGCTTATGCTCGAGCTTTCGAAAGCTTTTTCCTCTTGTTGCTTCCAACCGTGAACAATAGATGGAATGGAGTAAATGGATGGAAACATAGATGGAATCGACGAGCTAAACACAGTGAGTCACAAAATGCAATTTACATTTCTTTGGCACTTTGAATTTTATAAAACTTGAAATACTTAAACACAAGACCGACAATATATGCCCTATCTCTATTTATATTTTCCCCTTTAATATATATTATTTATACACAACCTCAAAGTATGCAACACTTTTTTGCACATGAGGGAAAAGTATGAGCAGGGGCGTCGTGTCGTTATGGCCAAAAGGGGTTCTGTAATATTGTGACTGGTTGGCTGTTAAGTACAATTTAAATCTCAGTTTAATTTAATATATATTTGTTTATAGTTTAGTCAGTCTGGGTTACAGCTGTTTGGCTCTCTCAGTCTAGGTTAGGTGTATAATAGATTGACCAAAATTGACTTCTATACTACATTGTCAATTATCTTAGATGATATTAATAAATAAGCTAAATTATAAGATTGATTTGTAATGACGCGACCTTTGACAACCTCTGGACTGTGATGTGGCCCCTTTAGCGAGACATTTGCACACGTGCGCTCGACTTTTAATTAACCAAAGTCAACAGCCCCATTGAAGCGTGTAAGTCCGTAAATCTACTTAAAAAAAAACTGTCGACTTGCCGTTCTATATACTTAACTTCAACTTTCTGACAACATCCGGAACAGTTCAGCTCTCAGCTCGCAGCTCTCAATTATTGTGTGGACATTTCATCAGCTCTTCCTCCAGACTTTGGCTGTGATTGTATCCAATTGTCTTATTTGCTTAACTAAAACCAAAATATTGACTTTGCTTAAAATAGACAATGAAAGCGCGCTAAAGAGCTGCAAATTCAATCATGAGTAAACCCGGCCCACCCACAGCTCCGCTCTGGGGCCCATATCGCAATGCTCATACGACCCGTTGGCCAGCTGCGCCTGGCAGACTTTGTGGGCCACCTGTTGGTTGGCCTGGACTGTGGGCGCTGGCCAGCCGGGCGGGGTGGGGCGGGGCGGGGCGGGTTGAATTGAATAGCACTTGGCAACCGACTATCAAATGGAAATTAAATCCACAATTTTCTTGTAATTGTTCGAGCGAGTGCAGCGGCAACAGCTTGGGGCATGAAATCTCACAGGTTTTTTTTCGCCCAACTATTTTTTTTAATTAGTCGCACATTTAAAATTCTAATGTTAATTTATGATTGAAAGTGGTCGTTGTGCTGCTCAGCTCGGCCCAGGTTATGCCAACAGCCAACAGCCAACAGCAGCCCTTCTATCTAAGTCCAAGTCAGAGTCTGGGCCAGGTGTCGCTTATGGTTCAAGCTGTTGAACTGATTAGCCGGCCCGAGAGCACCTGGCTCTCATTGCTTTTTATGCAATTAACTGGCCGATTGTATGGCCAATCGGTGTGCTGTAATAACTTTTAATTATGGACCAATCGGCATAATAATGTTCTGGAAACTCACTTTGCATGCAAGCCGTACCTCGAAAGCGCCTGAAGGTCAGCTGGAGGAGCTAACTATGAAGGCTTAGTTTTTACTTAAATGCTGCACTATCTCAAAGAAACTAAAATCAGCAATAATTCAAGACATGCCAAGGCATTGCAGTTGGGCACACTCAACGCAAAGATACCCTGGCCAAAGTGCTGCAAATTAATCATGAAAAAGAAAACTTAATCTGCTTTGAGCGAAAATTGTTCTGTGTAGCTTTGAGAAGCCCGAATTGAACGTTAATAGAACTTTTGCCTGCACAAACTTAGCACCTGTTTTTCGCTCAAGGAATAGGTGAATTTTCCGAAAGGCGCGAATCTTTGCACTTATCTTTGAAGATAAGTTTGAGGTATCAATCAGATGAACTTTTGAATTTTTTCCTACACATTTTCCAGCACGAAACCCTATCTTATTGTTTATCTACGTTCTGAATGTTCTTTTTCGAAGCGAATATAGCCTTTCCTTTGTCTTATGAGTAATATCGATGATTTAATAAGTATCGATAGTGCCAACTGTAGAGATGAGCCTGCAGAGATGGGAGCTTTAACGAGCATATCATGCGGTCTATCGAAATGAATATACCCTCTTCTTTGTCTTATGTGCGCTATCCATAACATTTCAGTAGGAATCGATAATGGCAACTGGAAAGCTTAACTGGCATATCATGCTCTCTACCGAAACGAGAAAACCTCTTATTTTTCTGTAGAGATGAGACTGTAGAGATGGGAAGCTTAGCTGGCATGCTCCCTATCGAAACGAATATAACCTCTTATTTGTCTTATGAGTACTATCGATAACATTTTAATAAGTATCGATAATGGAAACTGTAGAGATGAGCCTGTAGAGATGGGAAGCTTAGCTGGCATGCTCTCTATCATGCCCTCTTCTATGTCTTATGAGTACTTTCGATAACATTTCAGTATCGATAATGCCAACTGAGAAGCTTTACTGGCATATCATGCCAGAATATACCCACTTCTTTGTCTGTAGAGATGGGAAGCTTAACTGGCATGCTCTCTATCGAAACGAATATACCCTTTCCATTGTCTTATGAGTAATATCGATGATTTAATAAATATCGATAATGTCAACTGTAGAGATGAGCCTGCAGAGATGGGAGCTTTAACGGGCATATCATGCGGTCTATCGAAACGAATATACCCTCTTCTTTGTCTTATGAGTACTTTCGATAATATTTTAGTAAGTATCGATAATGCCAACTGGAAAGCTTAACTGGCATATCATGCTCTCTCATCGAAATGAATATACCCCTGCCTTATGACTTATGCCTTATCTTGACACGCTCAGCGCATTCTCTCAATCGTTTTACCTATGACAGGTAATCTAGGGTATTCAAATTTTATAGAGTACTTAATCTTGAAACCTTAGAAAGGCAGCCGTTAATTCTTTTGATGATTCCCCGTAACATTTTGGTGGTCAAGCATTTAAATTGATATATGGCAAGCTGTCCAGCCTCCACACAGTGAAACCCCAACACAGACCCGGCCCAGTGTAACCAGTTTGTGTTCTAATTAGACTCAGAAGCCAATTGGCAATTATATTTGCTGATCATTTAAATTAGAATTTGCAACAGGTGCGCCTCGTAGGCGACGCAACGGCGACGGCGATGGCGGCTGCGCAGTCTACAAATGGCTGCCTAACGGTTTGGCCGCAACGCCCCGATTCATATATATACAAATATATATAAATATGGTATATACATATATATTTAACAGCTAGCAGTAAGTATATTTTTGAAAAGTTCAAGACAAGTCCAAGATTAAATAACTTAAGAGAGAAAAAAAAAAAACCGAAAAACCGAAAAACCTCGCGAATAATTGGCCCGAAATGGCGGCCACAATGCCAAGCGAATTGGCTAAGCGCAATGTGTAAGTCATTGACTTTGATATTCAATTAGCCAAATACCAAAATGCCAAACAAAATGTTCTAGTTAATTCTGTTGCTGGCTACTGTCAAAGCCGTGCGTCCAAGTCGGGCCCGGCTCGGCCCAACCTTGGCAGTTTATGCGCCTTTAATTAGCCAAATTTGAAAATTGAAATTTGAATTTAAAATTCGAAATGGATTTGCACGGCCAAACGGAACGTGTTCCAACGTCTTTTACAGCTCTCTGTGTGTTAAGTTGAAGTTTAAGTTAAACAATTAATACAAATTCGTGTCTGTCTCTGTGTGTGTGTGTGTGTGTGTGTGTGTGCTTTTTAATTGCAAAGTGCATTCGACTTCCGGCAATTACGCATAGGCAATTCGCGCAGCGGTTCAACAAACTGCGCTGTCCCAGAGAGTTTCCTGCAGCCCTAACCCAAATATTCACTGACTTTGACCAAAGAGCCAAGTTCTAAAAAAACGCAACTGACCATCGGCACGTATGCCATTTTCCACCTCAATTCATATATCTATATACTATATATACCTTTTATAACCATCAAATGCAAATAGAACTTCAACTGAGCTCAACATTAAATGCCCGATAAATGTCTAACCTTAGCTGTAGGTTTTTTTTTTTTTTTTAAAATAGAAATAAAAGCCCGTAATTAAAATTGGCTACTAAATGCACGCTTTAAGAGCTTATTACTTGTCGTTTCAGTCATAATTCCCACGTCTGCAATTCGACAACATTGTTATATTTATCAAAATTAAATCTTGAGAATTTTTACAAAATTGATTTCATTTTTCATATACCCTGTTACCTTGAGAACTCGTTTAAATTAATATTAAATCTTTTTTTATTTTAAAATATATAATTTCATTAATTGTAATGAAATAACTGTATACCCTGTAGATCAAAATGGAGTCTGACAATAATTGGGCGGGCCACCAAATACTTATGCCTTGTACACCCTGTAACCTTGAGAATTTATTTAAAATTAAAATAAAATCTTGAGGATATTAAAGAAATATTTTAAAATATTTATTAAATATTATAAAACATCAATCTCCAGAATTTAGTTAATTTATACATAAAATATTAAAAAGAATAACAATTTTTATTAAATTATATATATATCCCGTAACCCTGAAAGCTTATTTAACTTGAAATCAAATCTTGGGAATACTTATATTATATTATAAAAAATTTTATCATTTATTTTAGAACTAAACTCTCAGAATTTACTAGTATATGTATATATATAATTGGGCGGGCCACCAAATACTTATGCCTTGTACACCCTGTAACCTTGAGAATTTATTTAAAATTAAAATCAAATCTTGAGGATGTTAAAGAAATATTTTAAAATATTTATCAAATATTATTAAACATCAAACTCCAGAATTTAGTTAATTTATACATAAAATATTAAAAAGAATAACAATTTTTATTAAATTATATATATATCCCGTAACCCTGAAAGCTAATTTAACTTGAAATCAAATCTTGGAAATACTTAAAAAAATATTTTAAAAACTAAACTCTCAGAATTTACTAGTATATCTGTATACCCTGTAGCCTTAAGAATTTATATATAAATTTAAAATCAAATCTTGGGAAAGTATAAAAAAAAATATATATGAATTTAAGACTTAGCGAATTTAATTTAATTTAAATTTCAGCTGAGCTTTTTAATAAGAATAACAATTGTATATAAAATATTATAAAATATTAATATACCCTGTAACCTTGGGTTAAAGTTAAAGAAAAGGTTTAAGACAAGGTTGAGCCTGTCTTTTGAAGCAGTTAGCAGAAGGCGACCCTCTTTTCTTGGGTTACATCATTCCCTTCTTTCAATTCCCGTTAAAATCTTAATGCCAGGGTATCTTTTGCGTCTCCCTCAGCTCTCAAAGTTGTGCTTTTGTATTGCTCGCTTTTATGCTGGATTCTATTTTAAGTATTAGAACGGCAGCTGGCACGTTTCTATAGTAATACCCGGACCCGGTTTTATTGGCTTTATCGCCCACATCCGATCGGCTTCTACTGCCGCTGCCAGCAATTAACACATTCAATTTCTATTCAACTCAGTCAATTATCATAACGCTTGAGTTTCTGTTGTAATTGCCAATGCGATAAATCTGTGACACACGCTGAGGTAGGTCATGTTAACAATCAGCTGGCATTTTCAAAGAAGTTCAACAATATATCTTTATGATTGCCTATTGATAAAGAGCAAAAAAAAAATACTTTTAAATAGAATGTGATTTATTTCTTGAGACACTTTTAAAGATTCTCTAACTTTTGTGCGCTGCATATTAGTTAAGTATAGTTATAAACTATCAGACTAACTTTTTAATAGCCCTGGTCCACTAAGGCCTTCAAATAAGACCGCACTACATTCTATATACGAGAGCTTGAGACTTGAACCCGGATCCGAATCCGAATCCGGATTCTCGTTGCTTAAACTCTCTTGTTCTTCCTCTAACTTATATATGAGAATCTGAGACTATATACATAGATCTATGATATAGATATCTTCTCTTGTTCTTCTTCTAACTTCTATGCGAATATAAGACTATATACTTGGATTAATAATATAGATATCTTGTATATATTCTAAGGAAAGAATCGTATATCCTTCTAAAATCAATGTAGATCGTATCTACAAGTATGAATATAATTCCACAGCTACTTCCATTAAAAAATAAAAAAAAAATTAATTTAATTTTAAGTACTCCGTTTTTTTTAAGCTTGCGAATAAAGTCAGCTTTATTATAGCATATTTTGCTTGTATAATATATATGTAGTATATGGATAAATAGTAATGTAAATATGTATTAATATAACTTTCTTTGGTTATTTAATTTATCTGAATATAATTATATTTGCAGCCTGCTAGACAAGCATGGGGACCAACCCGCTGCCTCTGAATATACGTATATTTATATATATATATATAGATATTTTAATATTCTTTTATACTTAGTAACTGCCAATTTTAAATATAGATATCTTGGCTATAATATTTAAATTCAACATTGATACGTAATTGAACGTTAACACTTGTTCTCAATATTTGTCAATAGAATGCAACAAGAATAAGCTATTAAATTGATGCTCTGGTAATTGTATAATATATATTGAATAAGATGCGTATTGAATTATTTGTTCCCAAAATTCTAGTTCAGTTAGAAGCATAAATATATTTCGCAACGACAGTAACAATTATTGTTGCTTTTGATATTAATTATTTGCATATTTATTGCTGCCTTGTGTTGCTTTAACAATTATTATTTAAAGTCGCAACAAGCTTAAACTTTTTTTTGTAATTTTTAATATATTTTTTTTATATATTTATTGAAATTCGTAAATTCATTTTTTTTTTCCCTAAATCGTTCACGTTAATCGCAATCTCTTCAAATTCCAAAATAATAATGATATCATCTCACAAATGTTCCCTAATCAGATTCAGACTTTAGATTGAAAGCTGAAAAAAGAAAGCTTGAAATAATAATAATAATAATAATAATAATAAGAAACAAAAAACAGTTGAAATTATTTTTCAATTATATGTTTAAACTTTATTAATACACAAAACTTATGGATAAGTAAAATAATAAACTCTACATACCTACAATACAATACATAATAGTCATACAAATAATAATAATAGATAATAATAATAGTACACAATTGTAATATTGTCGTTTCCAGTTATTGTACAATGTAAGAAAAATCTTCAGCTATATATTTCCTCATCTAACATTTCGTCTAGTACTTTCTTTTCTTTTTTTGGAATTTTTTTCTTTGCTTTTTTTTTTCGTTTTGCTATTGATATTGCCAAGAAAACGCTCTACAAGAATACAAATACAGGATATATATTGTGTATATTTATATAGTGAGAGAGAGAGAGAGGGGGGGGGGGGGGGGAGGGGGCCAACTGTTTTTAGCTACCGGATATGGATATATATTTAAACGCGTTCACATATTTGCATTTTTTTCAAGTAAATAATTATACGAACAAAATAATACAAAAAAAAAAATATGTGCGCTGAGTATAGCAGCGGTTGTATTGTGCTCTTTCTACTAAACTGTGTGTGGAATGGTTTCTTGGTTTCTCACAATCACTTACAAGTCTAACGATTTTTTGGTCCAATAATATTTAGTTGGGGTTAATAAATATGCCATGCACAAAGTGAAAGTCGGGGGGGGCGGGGCGTGATGATAAAACAAAAACAAAAAAAGAGGGTTGGTAAATGTAGCCAAAGTGAAACGAAAAGAAAAAATTTGTCTAAAAATAGTTTCAAAATTGCGGTGCTTCAATTAAATTCCAGGGTATGTGTGTGTGTGGTATGTCAATTTAAAATTAATTTGTATAAAATGAGACCGTTGCACCTGTATGCTTAGGGTTTGTGGAGGGGTTGGGGTTGGGGTAGGTGGTGGTGTTTAATGGGCAGAGTATTTACTTAGCGTTTACTCTAGAATGGACGCCGCAGCTTTTGAATGGCATTGGTCAAATGCAGAATCTCCGTGTTCATTTGATGCACCAATGTGTCCAGCTTGTCGACCGAATCCAAGATCTCGACACGCTCGGTATGGGGATTGAAGCGCACCTCGAACGGACGCGACATGGTGCTCACCCAGCGGCGGAACTTGTCCTTGGCATCCTCAAAGCTCTCGGCCACATAGTAGATGGGCTGATATTCCTGATCCTGATACGGCTGCACCGCGGTGGCGGCCGGCTCAAAGGCGCGATGTTCGCACTTGTCGCTAATCGCATGCAACAGCTCGCCATAGGCGCTCAACAGACCAGCTCCGTAGGCCTTGACCTGACCGTGTTCCTTGCAGAGACCGAACTCAACAGTGAACCAGTAGACCTGCGCGCCAAAGAAACCCAAACAAAAATATTTCGTGATTAGCGAATGCAGCTCGTAGACACCTGTCTGGGCCCGGCACAGAAAATGGCAAACTCATGCTGCACTTGGCTGCACGTGGAGGTCAACGGAAGCCATTAAGTGCCAGCCAAATGAGTATAGCAATTGAGTTAAGTTGTGGCACGGACGGGGGGCGAATCGGGGGTTGGATTGCTTACCGTGGAGAGCTTTTCGATTTCTTCATCGGAGGCGCCCAGCGAGGCCAGTCCAATCTCCTGGGAGAACTGGGCAAAGCTTGGATCGGCCAACAAAGGCATATGACCCAACAGCTCGTGGATGGTATCGCTGCAAGGAGAGCAAGAGAGAGAGAGAGGGAAAACAATTAGGCGTTAAATAATAGCTGGGTGGTAAAAGTGCTGCTGCTTTGTTAAACTAATTTGGCGCACAATAAAAGTTGCCACTGGCAGGCGGAAGCACAAAGAGAGAGAGAACGGAAGCGGAAACTGTTGGAGCCGCACCAAAATGGCAGGCAAATGCAATTAGAGGGCGCACAAAAAGCTTTGCGTTTGAAGTTTAAATGTGCTCCACACAGATATATATAGTATATATGGTATATACTTACGGCTCGGGCGTGTGGTACGGCGAGTTGACGTGACGCACATACTGTGTGCTCTGGAAGATGCGGAAGGCCAGCGAGGCGAGGAAGTCGCGTGCGGTCAACAGGCCGGCGGCTGGGCGCAGCGAGAAGCCCGTGTTTTTGCGCAGAAAATCGGACATCTCCTGCAGCTGGGGCAGGCGATGCTCGACAAAGATTTGCTCATCCTGCAGCATCTGGAAGGCGGCACGATATTCGGCGCAAGCGTGTTTCGGTGCCAGATCCTGTACGGTGCGGAACACCGAACGCCAGGTCTTCACCTCCACCTCGGTGTAGTTGATGTGGGGAATTGGATCGCCATATTTGAAGGCGAACGCAATTTCGGCAATTTCCTTGCGGCGCTGGCGGTAAACCTTGTCGGCGAAACCGGGATGATTCATGTCCAGATCGGGCTCGTATTTGGTCATCAGATGATTGCAATTGTCCAGCTCGGAGGCGTGCTTGGGGAACCAGGGCGCCTTAACGCTAATATTGTTCTCGGCCAGCAGATTCATGCTGCTAAACGAGCCCGATTGGCGCAGCGAACGGATCAGCTGCAGCAGATTGCCGCGCGTCATCTCCAGCTTGATGAGGACATCATGATCGACGCCCTCGACGCGCGATTGGCGCGACTCCACATGCTGGACGGTGCCGTGGAACGTCTCGATGGCCTTGAGTATGCGGCCCAGCGAGGAGATGCCCTCCTTGAGGCGCACCACCAATGCGGCACCCTGGACGGCCTCGGTTGACTCCGATGCGGCATTAGCCAGGACAATCTCGTCCTCGGTGAGGCCATAATCTGCAATTGCAAGGAAAATGGCAATCAGCAAAGGCAAGCGGCTTTGCAGTCACGTAAGCGAATAACCGAGCTACGTGTCGCACCACCCCACTCAACTACTCCCCCCTCTGGTCCTGGCTCTGGCTCTGGCGCTGGTTGCCATGGCGCTTAAGTCGAGCGTAAAAAATGAAAAAGGGAAATGCGCCATTTACCCTGTTGAATCCGGCAGCTCTATGTGAGAGTGTCCGTGTGTGTGTGTGTGTGCGCCTAAAAGGCAACACCCACACACCACACACACACACACACCCACACATAGACACATTTACAATCAGCATCCAGTTCTCACCCATATTCGCTGAGTGCTGGCACTTTATCATATTAAGCACTTAAGTTCATGTCAACCAGCTTTTACTGTACTTATATATACATATATAGATGTGTGCCACGCCCACTTACCGTTCTTTGTGGGCACTTCATCATCGGCTGGCGGCTGCTCAGCGCGGCTTTCAATTGTTGCCTCAGTTTCAAAACTCTCAACTACAACGCAACAAAAGGAAATAATAATAAAAAAAAATAAATAAAAATTGCGTGCAATAATAATAATAATAATAATAATAAAATCATCATATGGGTTGGATAAGCACCTGAAACATATTCATCTTCCGCGGGCAGCTCCAAGCTGGGCTGCGCGTCCTGCAGCTCGACATTTTGCTCGGCGGGCACATGCTCGCCCTTTGCCTGCTGAATGCACTCCTCAAGCGAGGCGTCTTTAAAACATAAAAGAAAATATAACAAAAATAAATTAAAATGGGAGAAATAAACTTAAAACAAGTGGAGCTCAAAAGCAAACTAAGTCTGATAGTGCAAAGGAAACTTTATGGAAATGGGAAACGAAATAAAACAGAATTTGACTAAATATTTAAATATGAATATATTGAAAATTGGCAAACACTTTAAATTAAAGTTTATCTGACTCTGTTTGAGCAAGAAAAATCATTAAAAAATATTAAAAACTGAGAAATATATTTTTGAAATTTGAAGAGCTTTTTTAACAAGATTTTTAAAAAATTATAAGAAAAATCATTTCAAGAATTGAACAACTTTTTCTAATGTCAATTTAATTAAAGAACATTTTCTAACTTCAATTAGTTTTGAAAGTAATATAGATAATTTTAAGAAATTTATAAAAAAAAGGAATAATTTGTAAATTTGAAGAAGTTTTTCGAACTTTTTCTAACTTCAACTAGTTCTAGCTTAAATAGTTTTATATATATTTGTTTTGGTACTCACCATTTGCCTTGCTGCGCGCCTCCTCGAGCACGGTTTGTTTGTTCTGCTTGACCACCAGGGTCTCGAAGCGTGCATCATCCACGAGACTGCGGCGACGGGATGGATACCCATTCTGCGAATGCAAAAAGGAAAGTTGTGAGGCGTGTTTGATGACAACTCTCTACCGCAGGATATGCGCCGGAAATTAGCTATTTTCTGTGCGAAAAGCAAAAGCACTCAGCCATGCCCATGAATTTGATGGGCGTAGGGATTGCGCAAGAGGCGCTTATATAAGAAAACTCTGGCGAGCTTATAAAATGTGCGTGTGCGTGTGTGTGTGAAAGTGACAGACAAAGCTGCGGATCGGCACATTTAGAGTTTGACAGGCTTATGAATGGCGGCCATTCTATCCGAGCTGCAACAGCGCTCCACGTACAATACAAATTATGATATGATATGTGGGGCCTCAAGCAGTTGCAGTTTTTTTTTTTTGGGTTTTTGTTTTTATTTTGGGTTTTCACAGTTTCTCTTGCTGATGAAAGAGATGCGAGCCATTGAATCATCTTTATTGATTTCATATTTTGTTTTTTGTATACCTTGGCGACGGCACAACAGCATCAACATAAACAACAACAGCAACAACAACAGGCAACAACAACAGGCAACATAAACAGCGTCTGGAGATCAACAATGAGACGCGACTGTGTGTAAGTGCAGGGCAAATGTGTGGCGGGCAGCCACTTTCACTGTCCCTCTTCACACACAGACAAGACTGTTTAAATTTGTTAAATAATAACTTTGTCAACTGTCCGAACTATGTTTGTTGTTGTTGTTGTTGTTGTTCTTTTTGAGAAAAATAAAAACTTATAACCAACAACAGGATAGCAGTAGGTCAATCGCAGTCGAATTGAATACAAAGACTCGGCTCTTACGAGTTAATCGAGTTGAAATATGACAAATTGAAAACCTTTGGGCAGTCACGTAGACCAAACAACCCCCTCTCCCCTCTCCCCACCTGTCTCTGGCGTAGCTCTTAATGCATATGATCATTGACACTTACCTCAATACTGTAGGATTTCTTAATGGCGAACATTTCGCGATTCTTTTGAGCTGCTGCAACGGCCATCATTTTGCTTATGTGTTTTGTGTTTTGTTTGTTTTCAATTAGAAAATTTCTTTCAAAAATTTATACAAAGTATTGCACTTTGGATACTAGTTGATAGTTATGTTTTTTTTTTTTATATATGTTGCAATAAGCACTCGAAATTTTGGACACTTTCACTGCTTAATTGCCTGGCGAAACGCTCCTGGAACTGAAACTGTTTGCGTCTAGAATTTAGCTAAACCGAAGAACTTCTTCAATTCACACAGCACGTTTGGATTTTTTTGGTTTTTTTTGTTCAACGCGTTCAACTCGAAACTTTGTGGAAACTTTTCGAGTTGCGGGAATTGAAATCCTTTTTTGTGATTGGATTTACTGTTTAGCTAAGATTTTATTACAACAAACAGAGCAGCAAACTACTTGACCACACAGAGGGCTGGCAAGTCTTTAGAGCGAATGTTAGCGAATCAATGCATGCCCCAGGTTCAGTTGCCAGCGCTTAAATACCCCACAGCTCACAAAGCCGAAGCGCTCGCGACGCCAGCTGCGACGCCGGCGACGACCGAGACCGAGACCCAAACGACAACGACGACGACGACGACGACGACGACAGCGACAGGTTTTCGCATGACGCGGCTGTGACGTAGTCGGCGGGGCTGAGCACAGCTGCTGCTCTTGTTGTTGCTGCTGTTGTTGCTGCTGCCGTGGGGTTTCCTCTCACCAAAGCACAACTTGGCAGTGGGTCGACGGCGGGCTGACTCGACCAAGTTCAAGTGCGGCAGCTAGAACGGCGCTTGGCATTGCTGCTGCTGCTGCTGCTGTTGTTGTTGCTGCTGTTGTTGCTTGGGTTTAGACACAAGCGCGTGCGCGGCGACTGCGAACGAAAAAACTATAATAAAATATTTGGAATTGTCGCGGTCTCAGCGCGTCATTAAAAAAGCCTAAACAAGTCATAAAAATTATACACAACAAAATCCCAGCAGCCGCAGCAGCTAGCATAATCAACATTGCGCATACGCCGCGTGTGACAACCCCCAATCTATATACACATATAGTATATGCACACGCAGGCACACATAAATATGTTATTTGTAATAGATATGTTTACAGGCGGATATTATTTTCAATATGCACAAGAACTAATTGGAAAGCAGAGCAGGAACTCGCCGTGCCATTAGAAGGTGGTCAGCCTACATTTTAAGTATATGCAAGTGCTGTCGATTGACTTATAGATACCCTGCATGAGATACTCTAATGTTTACTGAGCGAAATTAGCTGGCATTTTGTAAACCTTGTTTAAGTCCGAGCTGGACATTTTTTAGCCTCAGCAGGAAGTTTTGCTCTAAAGAAATTTAACTTTTAGCCGAAAAATATCTCTATTTTAGACTTGATGGCAGTAATAAATGTAAACATTTTTTATTTGCATTATGTTTTAAGGTGATTTTTTCTTATATTTAAGCGGGGAATGTTGAAATTTGAATTTAAAGTATGACACATAGATACTCCATGCTAGATACCCTATGCTGTTTATGCTTCTTTAGATAATTACCTTTACATAATGTAGTTTAGATAATAATATAGAAAATATATTCAGATATATAGATACTCTACGTAAGATACCTTACTTTATCCTAAGCTAGATAACAATATAGATAATGCATATATATATAGATACTCTGTTATGGATAGCCCAAACTACGTTAGATACTTAACTTTAAACTTTAGATACTTAATTTCATATAATCTAGCTTAAATAATTTTCTATAGATAATCAACTCTTTATTCTTTAGCTTACGTTATTTACTGTAGATAATCTTCTATAATCTACTCTAGATGCTCGAACCAAGATACTCTATATTTACTTTAAATATTCAAGTTCGCCAATCTCTTGTCATCTTTTAATTAACGTACATTAGTTTAATCGAGGTATATTACATATTCTCATTTAAAAAGAGGCGTGGCAACAAAAATGTTAACTACTCAAAACATCGTCAGCTTCTAGAGGAATATGCATTCAACAGACATGCTTTTGAACAAACCCAAAATAAATTCTATCCTAGCGACTCTTCATAGATCTTTTTTTCCCTTGGGAGTTCGATCCGTAAGCTAGTCAAGCAACTATTCGAATAGCGTATAATAATTATGAAAGCGCATTAAGGCTAATTTGCATGCGTAAATGTAACACATTAAACTAATCTTAACTGGGCATAAACAAATGGCGTCAAAACATCTGGCAAATTGTTTAGGCATTTGCATTTGCACATGCAGCTGACAATTCGCGACTAACTAGCTAATTCCTGTAAGCTGATAACACACACACACACACACACAAATATACATAAATAGATAGATTGATGTGTGTATATATACAGAGGTGAAGTGTTGATGTAGTTGTAGCCGAGGCTGGCGCCTAATTGGATGCTGGTCTTAGATCATTTGAATGACATTTAGTTGAAGTTTGAGACTCGCATTTAACCAAATTCAGAGTTAGCCGCTCGCTTTGCCATTGATCTACATTCGGTGTCGAGCGAATTGTTGCACTTGTTGTTGCCTCTGTTGTTGTTGTTGTTGTCGTTGTTGTTGTTGTTGCAGCGGCAAATGCCGTCATCCTTGCAGCGTGCCGATCGAAGCTATAGATTACATTTAACCTACCGATAAATATGAGCTAATGAGCTGCCGCTTACTCACGACAAAAATAAAAAACAGGGCTTCATATGAAGTTATTAAAATCCAGACAGACAAATTGAGCTGCGAATTGGAAGAGCTAATTGCATACCAATTTTTTTTTTTCTCTTAATGATGGGCTGACTAACTGGCATACATAGAAAAAATTTATCAAAAGGGTGCACTCGTTAAATATTTTAACAAAAAATACACTGACAACAATTTCGAATTCAAGTTGCATAAGCTAATTAACAATGATTATAGCTAACTAGCAATGAGATAATCAACACGTTATTCAATTGAAATACTAATTAATAAATTGCCAAGAATTATATAGCCAAAAGCAAGCTTCTGAAAAAATATATAGAAAAGACGACAGTCGAAGTTTAAATGCGCTTTTAGAAAATTATATTTATTCAATTCTGTTTTTCATATGACATCTTTATTACTTATCATTCATTTCTATGACAGCTACATAATAAAGTGCACCGATCTAGTCAGATCTGGTATATATACCTTCTGAAGCAAGAAGAAGCATATGCTTCAAATTTCAGCAGCATAGCTTTAAGGAGAGCCGAGTTCACATAGATCATTCCATGAGATGGATAGGCTAACATGGGTTTTTTGCTATAGCTTTATGTGTTGAACACTTTTTATATAGATTGTGTACAAATAAAGTAAGAGTGCTCTACTCGGGAGTGCACGACTAGGGCATACCCTGAACCTTATTCTACCAACAATAAATACATCAATAAAACTTAATTAAATCAAAAATTAAGTTCCCTCTGCCGTATACTATACTATTCCGTGTATCATACTATATACTATTCTTGAAGCTAGATGTCAAACTTGTTGACTCTAGCTTTTAAAGCTTAAGAGGTTTGCTCAAAAACAGTAGATCGATAGCGATTTATATCGATTGCGTGGGCAAGTTATCGATTATCGGAAATAAACTCTTGCTGCGCGGGCACTAAGACGATCTACTATCAAAATTTCAGGCTCTAGCTCTAATAGACCTTGAGATCCTTGCGTTCATAAAGACGGCCAGACGGACGGATGGACAGACAGACATGGCTAGATCGATTCGGCTTGTGATGCTAATCAGGAATATATATACTTTTTTAGGTCATCTCCGACCTTCCTTCTGCCTGTTACACACATTTGAACAAAACCCTTTTTAACCAATTTATAGTGTGTCAGAAAAGTAAACAACCCTCGGTTAGGGCATACGAAAAATTGCATTCTATAATTCGCAAGATATTAGGAATATTCGAAATATTTTGCAATTTATGTGCAATTAATTGCAATAAACATTTGTACATATTTAACATTTGCACATTCATCATACTCTAGGCAGTTCGGGGTCTAGTTCTCGGCTTTTTGGCAAACTTTTCTTCCGACTTTTTATATGGTGCTTTGTTTATTGTGTGCGACTGCATAATTAAGGCACAACATTTAAAAGTTCGCTGTTTAATTTGACTTTTATTTAATATTTAAATTTATAATTGTGCACGGCATTTGTTAAGCTCATTCTAAAGTTATTAAATATATGGTAGAAGAGAACAGCAATAACAACAATAACAAACAATTGCTCAAGGTTTTAAAAGTAACAAAACTGTTGAGCGCACAACAACAATAACAACAACAACAACAAGAACAACAACTGGCTTTGGCGACCGAAGGCGGAGCTAGAAACGGAGCCGGAGCCGGAGACGGAGTCGTCGATTGTGACTCACGGCCCGTAGGCAGAGCCATTCACTGGGATTTCCTTGTCCTTGGCCATGACCCTTTAACGGCTGACTGGCCTGGCCGCAGCTTCTAACACGCCCCAGTCCGGCACGACACGGCACGGACCGAGCCGGGTTCAGCCCCCTTCCCGCCCCGGTTGCCCCGCCTTGCAAGCAGATCAACCAGTTTGTTTGTTTGTTTTATTGAAGTTTCATGATCAAAACCCAAACAACTGAAGTACAACTACGCACAGCCCTCCCCCCCCCCCTCACGCCCCCTCACGCCCGCTCTCTAACTCTCCAGCTCTTATTAGTATTTATTTTTTTTTGTTTAATTGTTTTCTACAAATAAATTGAAACATTGAAATTGCTCCTTTGAGAATTGAAGGTTGATGCCGCAGCTCGGCTTTGCAATTTTTTTCGTTTGTTACATAAGACAGATTTTTTTTTGGCTCTTTCGGGTTTTTATTTGTTAATGATCAATCATCAAGATAAAAAAAAGTTTTCAAGCAATTTAGGTTCTATAATTAACAATTTTCGGTCAGGCGGCAAAAGTTGAAAACTACATATTTAAATTTGTCTGTGGGTTTTTTTTCACTCGCTATTTTTTGTTTTTGTTCTAATCAAAAGGCACAATAAAATATACACAAATGTTTAAGTCACGTAGTCCACATTTTTTTTTTTTTTGCTCTTTTCTGTTTGACATGTTAACAAAAAGTTACGGTTTTTTTCAAAATAAAATAAATATAAATGTAGTATACAAGACCATCAATCATGGTTGCCAGGTCTTATAATGAAAGTAGTTCCGTTTGGCCAAATATTGGCATTGAGAAAGCGATGTTAACTTAAAAAGACTTCGACTTAGAAATTTGCGAATTTAAAAAAAAAACGATCTGTATCAATCTTTTAACCCAAGCGATATGGCCGCCCTAGAAAGGTGCAGGCTATGGATTCTATATGCATGTGAAGAAAAGGTCGATCTGTACAAATCTTTTAAGCCAATTATGTTGGCTTGTTCTTGTTGAGAGTCTTAGGCAACTTGGGTGCTTCGTAACCGATTAACATGGC